TACAATACGCAATCTACATGCACGTGGCTAGGCTGGTCTAATGGTGGTACCGGCTGGGCGGCATAATCCTCGTACCTAGCACGAGAATCAGGGACTAACGCATGCTCCCCGGTAGTGACATCGGTTGCTAGCAAGGCAACCGGTTCCGGCGGAGTGAGGAGAGGCGTTGCCCCTCTCCTTGCGTAACTCAGTTTCCCGAGTTAGCTRGACGGGGTACGCGTGCCTTGCCCTTGTCCGGGCATTGTGCGGTAGTGTGGGTTACACTATTGCACCATAGGCAATATCCGTACCGTTGACGCAGGTCAAATACTTCCTTGGTTGTGTTGTATGCCGTTCATGGTTGCTGCCCAGTTCCCGTCGCTGTCGTCGCTTGTGTCGCCGGTTTCTTTCGAACTCTCTTGGGACGCTTCGGCCGGAGCGCTGCGACAGTTCCTCCAGCACTCGAGGATGCTGCTGCAGTATGGAGATCGACTGTTTCTTCGGAAATCACGACATTGTTATGTGTCGGACGTTGATAGCCCTGCTTAGCCACATAGTGCGGTTGGGACTGCTGTTCGTTAGCGGCCTTGTCATCCGTTTGGATGACCAGGTTCGCACGATCCAGTATAGCTTGGAATGAGGCATAATTGTACTCGTTGTCGAGTGCCGTTCGCAGTCCGGCGCACAATCGCGAGAAGAACTCGGATCGTTGGTTTGGAAAACTGAAATCGAAACCTGGTGTGGTCACTATCTTCTGCCACTTGATCGTCCAATCTCGATTTGGCATGCTTCCTTGTGCGCTTGTGTAGACCTCGTTCATGGCCGCCTTTACAACGTTGCATACCATGAATCGAGTGAACCACAGTTGCTCGAACTCCTGCCACGGAATGTGCGTTCGGGGTTCGGCGATGGTGCATTTCTTGGTGGCCGCAAGATGGTTCATCCATGCCTGTGCTCCTCCAATCAGTTGGAGGTAGAGTGCCTTCATCATGTCTTCAGCCGGGACAGAGCGGCAGGATGCTTCCGTGAGGAAACCTTGCCACCATGTCAAGGCGTCCGTCTTGTTGTAGTCGTCAAACTTGCTGATGTTGAAGTGCCGCATCTTGTAGTTCTTTGTAGTGGCGTCCGGTCTTGTCTGCAGTTTGGTGATGTCTGTCTTGATGGCGGCCACCGTGCTGCTGATCGTGGACGGACTAGTGAAATCACCTAGTTTGTCGATTAGATTGACGACATGGTCGATGCGCTCAACGAGCTGTTTCGCCGTGGCTGTCGTGCAGCCTCGCGCTGCTTGGGAAGGCCTTGCCTCCAGAGCAGCAATGCGGGTGTTCATCTGTTGCAGCTGGGAGTCCGCGATCTTGACGGCTGCTGCAAGCGTCTTCACGTTATGGTTAAGATCGTGCTGTAGCTGCCGTGTAGACCTGGAATGAAGGTCACCCATGGTGCTGTTCCAGATAACTGCACGCATTGTGCATAGTAGAATGTCTGCCAGGTTTTGTCTCTCCTGCTGTACTGCTGTCGGCTCGGCGCCTGCTACGGGGACATAACGCATCCCGTTGAGCACAGCTGCCCACCGATTGTGTTGAGAGATCAGAAGGTCGGCACTGTCGGCGTTGAGCTTGTCGGTCGCCAACTGCTCCGCCTCAGCTTGTCGCTGGGCTTGGGCTGCAGCTTCTGCTGCCAGCCTCTGTTTTTCTGCTTCGGCAGCATCTTGCCGTTCGTATAGGTCTTCACTCTCTGAATGTAGTCCGTGATGGACTCATTCGGCCCTTGAACAGGACAGACCGGCAAGGGTTCGGCATTACTGGATGTCGAAGTCTCAGACGATGTTCCGCTGTTGGGCGTGATCGCCATCTGTGTGCTGGTATGTAGCTGCTGTCGATCTGCAGGTTGCTGTTGCTGTTGGCGATCTGCGATCCTCTTTCTGCGTCGTGGCTGCTGTTCGGTTGCTTGCCCTGTTGGCATCAGAAAACTGCTGCTGAAGGTTGGCCGGTCCGAATGGCCGCAGAACAGTAAGAGGGAGAGGGTGGGCACAGGGGTAGAATAGATCAAGCAATTCGCATACTACAAGGAAAATAAGTAACGGCGAGATGACAATACCAGATCACACCATCACATTGAAAGCCAAATAGTCACACCGTGTCCAGAGAGCAGCATTGCACCAATAATACACCAATGGAGTTTCGTAGCACTGTAAACCAATGTTCATGGAGAGCATACTCTCTCCTCCCAACACAAGAGTTCAGTTCCTTCACACTCACACTTGGCGCTCAGCGCCCAGCCTACTCCTACACAGCTACTACAGACTACAAAAAGACAATGCAACTGTTGACATCAGCGGCAGCCCGAAGTACTTGAAGATGTCGCCCATGCAGACCATCGCCAATACAAGGTAAGTGCCCTCACATCATCATCATCATCATCATCCTTCACCTATCCCCTGACTACACCCACACCTGTCCTGTCTTTCACCCGAAGACCACCCCTGCTCTCTTATACACATCTAGATGTGTATAAGAGACAGGTCATCATCATCATCATCCTTCACCTATCCCCTGACTACACCCACACCTGTCCTGTCTTTCACCCGAAGACCACCCCTGCGCTTCACTGTAATCCAAGCCCACCAGTTATGGTGGCTGGGCTATGGCGCTGCCCTCAGCAGCGCCCTCCTCTGCGCGACCGCACGTGCTGCACCTCGCCTCTCAGCGCCAGCCAGCAGCCTCGAGCCTTTGCTCCAGCAGCGCTGCTGCTAGCATGCGAGTGCCTGAATGAGGCTGCCTGGGCCCAGAAGCTTTCGGAAGGCCCCAGGAGGCTGCCTGCGTACAGCAGCTACTGCGCTACTGGGCCTCGTTCGGTTGGGCGCACAACTGTCTCTGTATGAGGCTGCGAATCACGCCCAGGGCCTGCATTCTTTGGAAAGGCCCGGAGGGCCGTGGAAATGTCTTTGTTGCTCGGCCTGTGTTTCTTTCAACCAACTGGCGCGTCGCAACTGCCTGGACCCCAAATCTGAAATTGGCAGGCGGGGGCCTCTTGCAAAAAGTCAGGCCCGCCTTCACTTAGGGCGGGCACCTCCGCCTTCACTTAGGGCGGGTAATGCTGCAAACAGGGCCCCATAGGCCCACCGAGGACCCTGATCCTCGCAATATAGTCCCTGTCCCAACTATGGACTTAGACACCTAATCAAAAGGAAAAAAGATAAACTTTCCCCAAAAACAACTTAAAATTTTGTAATCAGAAATAATAACGAATTAATAATCAATAAATTTTAATTAATGATTAATAACGAATTAATACTTCCTTAATAATAGTCAAGAAAACAGTAATTGCAATATTGATAACTATTAATTGACGAATTTTAAATTGTGAAAATATTAGGTATCCGTTGAGATCACCTATGGTCCGGGAGTGCACCGTTGATTAGTGAACTACCCGGAAGTTGCAGTTTCTGAGGGAATGATTCCGACCAGGTTGCCAAAATTGTTTTTTCGGGTAATCAGGAAGAAAAACACTCGAATTTTCGAAAAACGGAGAATTTCGGGAATTTTAACCTCCAAGGTCCGATTTTTAAAGGCCTGAGTCCATATTCGGAATTTCTCAAACTAGGAAAAAGAAAAAATTTCGCGAAAATTTCGGATTCCAACCCTAATTTTCCGCGATTCCGTGGAATTTTCGTTTTACGGCTCCAAAACATTCGAATTTCCCAGTTTGAACAAAAACCGAAATTTATCGTAACCCTAACTTCCAATACCGAAATAAAACGGAATACCGATTTAGAAAAACGAAATACCGGATTAAAAACAGAATGCCGAATTAAAAACGAGATACCGAATTGAAATCAGAACCGAATTAAAACAGAATACTGATTTAAACAGCATAACGAATTAGAATCAGAAAACTGAATGAAAATCAGACTTACCTTGTGAGCAGATCCATTATTTGGTCTGCTCCGATACCAAAACTGTTGCCTACTTGTGAGTACTTCAACAAGTATGGGCCGAACCAAGAGATCAACCAATATAGGATGAGCATGTATGCAGCGGAAGTCTGATAAATGGACTGACTCACATAGACTGACTCACACAGATATCACTCAACACACAAATAATCGTGAGATGGTGGGGTCCGAGCCAATCATAGATGATGCTCAGGCCCCGAACAAGATCAAAATGTCGTGGACAATAAGGCACCAATGTCGGAGATACAGAGTCCTAATGTAAACGGTGTCCAATCTGTGATGCCGCCGAGTATCAACCCCAACAATTTCCAAGTCTCTAATCCGGTAACACCACAGCCTCTTACCACCGAAGTCCAACACTGATCTCTGTCCAACTAGTATCAAGTCTCCAATCTGAAGAAGAAGAAGAAGAAGAAGAAGAAGAAGAAGAAGAGAACAGAGGAGGAGAGAGGTGAGGAGGAGGAGAACCAGGGACTGTGGAGGGAGGAGACGACCTCACCCCTGAGTACCTGGTCTGCTGCAACTGCCTGGAGCCGAAGTCGGCTATGGCTGTCCGCTGTCTGGCTCCTCGCTCGCTGCTGCCTGCTGCGCTAGCCGCGCTGCTGCGGCACCTCCGAGCTTGCGCTGAGAACAGCGCAGCGTTACTGCTCCGCTGTAACTGAAACGAACTGGCGCTACCGCAGCGTCCAGTTGCTCGATGCCTCGAAGAGAGGCCGGCATTAAGTACCGGTAGGGTAGAGGCCGGCCTCAATGCTGCGAGGCCTGGCTGTGATCTGAACCGTCAAGATCGACGATTCATATCGGATCGGCGGGCGGCAGCCTCAAAAGCGCCGCCAGGCCCAAAA